CCAATCATGCTGGGAGCCCCGCAATCTCTTTCTCTTCACTTGAGCTCATTTCTCCACTAATGACTTTGCCCTCTGATGCAAGCCAAGGGATCATCAAAGGTCCTTGAAACAAAAAGGGAAATATAGCAATTACTGGGACTTTCATCGGCAAGAAAGAGATTAAAAAGCCGGTGGTTGTATAAGCACCCCGAGAAGCAAACCACGATCTGTTTCACTGTTAAATGTATATTCAAGCACTTTACAGCAGACGTTATTCATCATCAACATGTTCTACCACCTTCATTCATTTTTTCCCCTCTCCATGCATGATAATAGAATCAAATGTATTATGTATTACTAATCACATGATAAAACCCTGTGGTGCTAGTAACGCATGTAGATTCCAAAATGCTGTGCATGTACAAGAAAAGTCATTGCCTTTTTAACAGTGGCCTGAGGGAATGGAATTGTCCCTTAGCCTCCATAACCATTGACACAAAAGGTCCCCAAACAATTTCAAATTACTGCTTTATTTCTCTCTCTTATATAATCCACCCACATTATTAAATCTACCACCTTCTGGGACTTTACTGATACAATAATATTACAGTGCTAAGATGTTTACATTCGAGACCGCCAGCTTTCCTTGTTATAAACATGTATGCCCCAAGGACTTGTACAATAGGCATGCATACTACTTGGCCTAAATGAGGCACAGGTCATTTTCTTTTTTTTTTTTTTAAGAGGGGTCAATATTACCTCAAGCAAAAGAGGGCCAAGGCCAATGCCAGAACCTGACTGAGCAGAAAATGGCTGCTGATACTCACAGATGAGATCTATTATACATTAAACATGCTTGTAAATATTCACCAGTCAGAGCATTCAAATGGAAAATATGGTTTAGGTCAAAGGTCTATGAAAATGTTGTCTCCTGAGGAAGTCCCACTAGAATAGAGGCAACGATGATAACAGGGAGAAACACCCATAGGGGACTGGGGAGAACATTAAGAGTTGTTTTACATGTTTGACTGTGGGACAGCGATGATACCAGGGAGATAAATGATGGGCACTTATCAGACGGGACTGACCTAGAGTTATGTACCATGGTTAATGGAATGTAACATGCCCATCAATTATACACAGCCAGGCTAATTTACAATGAATTAATGTCCAATAAAGTTTTTTTTTTTTTTTTTTTTTAATAATCCTGTTTAAGCACTTTATTTGCATATAAGAGAAAACATTCCAGACACAAATATTAAGGGTTGTGCCGGAACAGGTACGCTTTTTTTCAACTCAACAATGCTTATTGAAATCTATGAATAGCGGAGCACCAGCGGTACAGAATAATTCCTGGACGTCACTTTTATTAGCGGTTTGTCTCGCTGACAGGATCACATGGCTCGAAAATTATTTCATCATGTTCAAGTCCAACAGTGGGACTACGGTGTTATCTTCTATTTTTGTCTCTCTCGGCCGTATATTTCAGAGGCCAGGAACAATGTAGTCTGACAGACATATTCTTTATGAGGGGCTCGTGGCCTCTCTAATTTGACACAGTTGTCAGAGATAAAGCTCCTTAGAGAGTGTGGCCATGCTCTGGGTAAGAATGGGGATTAAATTAACACCCCCACCTTCACATCCTCTGACCCCAATACTGGAGAATAAAACATACATGGTGACTCACTTCAACACCCCACATCTGCCTTCCAACTTTATCTCTGAATGGATTTGACTTCAGTGCTAAATACAACAATATTAACTGCTCACATTCTCTTTTTGCCGGAATCTACATTTTCTGTAAATTAAACCAAAGTAAGGACTGGATTTTATTAAATCAAAATACAAAAATAAAATTGACGATTTCAATTAAATCAGATAATTATATGAAAAAACAAACCGCTTAACAACATTTTTTTTTATTACTGTAAATGTGGCGAGTGAGAGTGAAATGTCACCCCACACAGCTCACACGGTGTAACAATGCACTCCCTCTCCCTCTCCCTCTCCCTGGTAGTTTCCTCTCAAATGACCCGAGCACGTAAAATCAAATCAACACTGGAATGGATCATATCAAATTCTAATGAAAACATAATGTGCTCTTAAAATGTGTGTTGGCCCAGCAGCCAGTCATCCAGAGAGTCTCCCCCAGATGACGTGATGAATAGGGAACACTGATGGAATATGCATCAAAGTCGAGCTCATGATTTATGTAATAGCAGTCACTTGGACACTGATTAGCTGCTCTGTCAAGCGTGTAATACGAGAGGCACAACCCCTGGTTTATCAGTCATTTATCTGAAGTGCGTCCTGATATTATCACTGGATCCTAATGTCATCATTATGCCGCACAGCATGTGCGGGCCAGTGTGTCATGGTGCCGGCGACACTGCCTGTCAGGAGTTCAAGCCTCTTCATTTGCAAAGTGCTCAGACATTCATAGCACTGTGTCAACAGTAAAATAGAGGAGCCACATCATATCAGAGATGGAGGGACACAGGCACACAGGCACTAAATAAGTGGGCACAAGAGGGTACAGAGGCATTTTGTCACGTCTTTGTGGTTGCAATGTTTTCCTATATGAGGATCAGGCTAATTCTTCTGAGAGGAATGTAAAAACAAAGTGTCAAAGTAAAAAGAACAAAATATCAGGTTGGCTTTTGTATGCCTGTTTCATAGTTTGATTTAGAGGAAGAGACACAACATCTACTGTACACTGGGTATTCACAATGAGAACACTCAGACCTCCTCGATGTGCAACATGAGGCCCACAGAGCCATTTCTCCTGATTAAAATGCACACTCACACACACCGCTGTGTGAGAGGATGCTGGTTGTTCAGTCTGTCAGGACTTTCCTGCTCTCCTAGAGAATATCTGATATCATAAATGACTTCAACTCCTCCCATGCCAACATAAGAGAGAGAGAGATTGAGAACACAGGAAAAGAGAGCAAGACGCAGGCAGGCAGTGTAAATGACTGAGCTCTGACAATCAAACATCACCGGATGGACAAAACTGCTAATAAACAATTTCTGTCATTATGAAAAAAAAAGGTTAGGGTTGTTATTCTCACAAACATCTGGTGCTGTACACTAAAAGGAAGTCGTGCAACGTGTAAGTCCATCAACACCTCGCACAAACAAAAATAGTGAGGGAAACTGAACAGGAAAAAGAGCTCTTTGAGTCCCAAACAAAAGATATCAGCCCGGCTGCCAACACAGACAGGGCACCACACCTTGGCACTGATGCCGCTCACAATCAAAGGAACAGTCGTCATCTGTGCAGCCGTGTTTTTAAAGGATATCTTAAAAAGATTGAAAATATGTGTCCTTATGGAAAACAATTGAGTCCGTAGCCTTTAAAATGCCAGGTTGTTGTGTCACTCACACGCACGCACATCAGGCTGTTTATTTCAACATGCCAGAGTTAGAGTGTTTCCTGTTTTTAAAATGTATTTATTTGCAGCCATCAGACTAAATATATATGACTCTACAAACTAAATATAAAATGTGCAAAACAGCTTTGATCTGCCAGCAGTGATTAAAATTAATGTCCAATAAATTTAGGATGACAAAAAGGCAAAAGTTGCCTTTAAAAAAAATAAATTGCACATCTGATATTTTTTTTTAAATCTCTTAATGTAATAAAGCAAATGCAAAACCTCCACTGTGCTTGCCACATATGATAATTGTTTGGCCACTGAATGCAGCATTAAAATGATTTCAAACAGTATGGCTCAGAAGATCCAGCAGAGGGGGCTGCTTACTGCAATCATATGCTGATTAATTGAGCTTGATTCTCCCCATGCTGCGAACATAAGTTGTCCCACACTGTAGGCTACATGTTGGTATGTGGGTAAAGGTTACGAGGCTTTATGGAAGTCACCTTTTACCACAGGTAGCCCTTCACATCATTTTTGATGAATATTTAGGAAACATTGATTTTCTGATTATCCTCATCAGCCTATATCAAACTAGGTTATGTTCATTTTTATTAATTGTGCATGTTGCTCTCTAATTAGCTAATGAGAGACAAAAAGCAGGTTTAGAGCAGAAAAATGCAAATGACTCTTAGAAAATAGCACAAAAAAAGTAAATGGCAAGGCTGAGAATCATCCTTCATTGAAATGTCAGAGATAAATGGCTCAAATGTCACATCAATTAAAACGGGGGACAGTTAGTAGTTCATTAAAGAGAGAGCCATATTGCACCGTCGGGTACCGTTGCCAACCCTTACTATCTGGGGCAGACTGGCAGCGGGTCCAGATGGCACGGAAATCCTCACAGATTTCAAAATGGTCTCTGCAGGGGTGGCGTTTTCTCCCCCGCTCCCACCCTCACCGCTGAGACGGGGTGTGGGCCACAGGCCCACGCCGGCCTACACTCTCCAAACGGAGGCATGCAGAGAGCTGAAGGCACCAAAGAAATAAAAATAAAGCTGCAGAGGACAACAGACGCTTTTAAAGAATACATGACTGATGACACAGTCTTTGTCATAACGACCCGAAATATATGCTTCAGTTAAATATTTGGCTGCTCCAGACAACATAAGGCAACTCAATACCTATAGGCTAAACAGTGTCCAACTCTAATAAAAGGATTGTGCGCTACTTTGTGTGTTGTTTATAGTAACATGCTGACTTTAGTGGTTTAGATATCAGGTAGGTGTTTCTACCCTCAAACATTATGCCTGGGACCCTGAAGACCTAATTGAAAAGCTTTCACTGGAGACACAGGAATGGATAAATGTCTCAGTTTTAAGGAGGAAGGTAACAGTATTTGAAATTAGTGCTTAAATACGCATAATCATGTTTTATTTCCTGATGTAAAAAATATCAGGCAATTCAATATCTGATCTTTATAATATTTCGTCCTCAGTGTGCTTGGGACCCCCCCTGCCCCCAAAGGACCACAAATCTCATCTTGAGACCCTCAAGTCAAGCCTACTGTGTCTGTCCCCGACAAGGGGAGGAGCGGAGACTTATATTGGCCAATTACAGAGCGAGAGCGGACTTTTGACTGTTTTGATTGGCCGAGTCGACCTCACTTGTCTGAAGAAACAGGAAGAGTATTTTCTATCATGGTTATTCTGCAGAGGTGGGTAAACGGGACTTTGATAAGACACCGGACGTTTATTTCAGGCTTTACCGTAAGCTTAAGTGTTAACGATTGGAAAAAAAGCCTTACAGTAGCTTACATGTTGTTAAAATAATAGACGTAGGCTGCACACATTGTATGAAGGACTATTCTTTGATAATGTCGGCTAACTCGCGTAGCCCTCAGTTACCAAACAACACTTGTACTATAAACATTTAAGGCGCTAGTTACATTTTAAGGTTATTTAAACAAGTGTTAAGATACTTACATAGTAAAAAAGACTGGCGGCAAGCATCGTCTAAGTTTCGGCATGACTTTCCTCAGTGTAAAAAAATGTCACAACACGGACACATGTTGCGTTTTCACACCTGCGCAGTCGCGGTGCGCTTTCTACTCAATTAATCACGAAGGTTTGACCAGGAACTACTCTAATGAGAAACGAGTCAAATGATTGACGAGCTCCAGGATGCTGCCAGTTATTTTTTTTCTAACAACACAAGCTGCTTATTGTTTGTTGTTTCTCACCGTGGAGAGCTGGGTAAACAACCAGACCTTGAAGTAGTCACTAAGACTAGTCTACTGCACCGAAAGCGGCACAAAACAAACATGGAAGCATTATTTTTAATCAGTGGTAGACTATTAGCCAGGGCCATTATTGCCAAAGTCCATTATTCTATCTATGAGTCTATTACCAAGCTTGCTAAATGGCAGGCAGTGTGTTCAGCGCTTATCCAAAGTGCACTGTACCATTGTTTGGCTCAGAAATTTCTCGCCTTTATTGTCAGTTCAGGCAAACCCCCGATGAATACAGTGAGAGCTGCAAGAGTAGAAACAAGAAAAGTTGAAGCAGACGCATTTGTGATCGCATAGCATGACAGATGTGCTGGTGTTGATGGTGTGTGTGTGTGTGTGTGTGTGTGTGAAGAAGAGGGAGGGAGGGTGGCAACTGAAAGTTTAAATGAAATACTGTAAATGCATGACTACTCTTCATTGCATTACCTTTGTTTAATCTAAAAATGTGTCGACCCTCCTTTTAGCACACTATATAGTAAAATGTAATATTTAAAAAAAATGCAGATTGATTATGTCTGTACAACCAATTAATTCCATTATTATTATTATTATATTGCCTGCTGTAAAACAAATGTCACAAAGTGGTTTAAATTGTCCATAAAAACAGGGTGATGTTTTCAAAACCTGTTTTTTTTTCAGTCCAGTTACTGATGCATGTAGTTTACTGTCATCATGAGGCATCAAATCCTCACATTTAAGAAGCATATACAAGGACATGTTTATTTTCTAGCCCTAGCTAAAATAAATAAAAAGTATTAAAGGTTCATCAGAAACATTATTTTAGACTTAACTTACTGAGATTGTGGAAGAAATGCTCTGTAATGTATATAAAGCTGTAATGATTAGTTAGTTAACACACAAAAAAATGAATATAGTCATTATAGATTACTCAGTTTGATGAGTATAAACATTGGTGATTCCTTAGTTACAGCTTTCTAGAGATTTGCTACTTTACACTGTTCAACAATTTTTTTGTTCACAGTCTGACCAAATATAACACTTGAAATTGTCACCATGTACTGTGTGAAACTAAGATGTCCATTTTTCGCAGTTTTGTTTTTTTCAGGAATTTAAAAAAATCCTCAGTCATTGCTTCATATAAATAATGATTTAACAAACATAAATCAAAATCATCAATTGATGGAGTCATCAATAATGTAAAAAAGTTTCCCCATTAAAAAAGAATAAAGAGGTAGATATTGTATTTGTACCCTTTAGACACTTTTCAGATCAAGGTTCCTGGAAGGAAAGGTTCCTTTCGTTGAAACTCTTACAATCAATGTGACCTTTATTTATTATAACCCCCATCTCTCAAAAACTCACATATAACGTAGTCAATCATCTCTCCTTCCCTCAAAGTAAAAATAAAAAAGGAACTGCTGTCTGGTTATTGCCAGTATCCATCTCAGTCGTCAGAAAAGCTGCACGTTTTTGCTGTTGTTAAGGGCTGGAAACCAGAATCCCATCGGAGTTGCACCCTAAGGAACAAATTTAATGCTAGAAAAACATCCCGACCATCAACCAAAAATGACGGATTGAAAATAATGTCGAGCTATCTTGGGAATCCCCCACCAGACAAGGGAACAGACTGCATTGTTTTTCTCATTTATGTGATATATAGAACAGAAAGAGGGGAAAAAATGGGCGATTTATTGGTTAGATAGGCGTATTCTTTTCCATGCACAAAAGAAATATTGGATAGTAATGTGGGGGATCAAGTCGCATCATGACATTGTTTGGAGGCTAGGTGTTCAAATATGTAAGTCATCATCCGTTGGTGGCCCTGCTAGGTTTTCCATAGATCATTCAATGCAAATATGCGTGAGAAATTGTGAAAGTTGCCACATGAATATGTCAATGAACGGAGTGTAATTTGTGCTTCCTTAGCAGGGCAGCACGATGAAAGAACAGAGGAAGAGCCAGTGCACTCAGAAGACCATCTCATTGCTGAGCCCCCTGGGGACCATCCAAGTCAGTGGATGTGAGAATGGTGTGCACACCATCCAGATCCTAATGGATGTCGCACCTGCTGAAAGGTACTGTACAACAGCCGGGATGGTGACGTGATAAACAAAGGTGTGAAATTTACAGGCGGACAGAATCCACTCCTGTGATGGAGTGCCACCATTCCTCATTGGAAGCAGGGCATTTTTGTAGATCCCACAAGAAATATCCTGGAGAAAGTTGGGCAAATATGAGCCGGCACTAGAAATATGAGGGGCACTAGAATACAGTTGGGCTTGAAATTAGATTTCTGATGGCATGTGGTTGTGATTCTTCCCGCAGTATATTTGAAATTTCAGAAAAATAACTTGTTTATTACCCACTGGGGAGTTGATTAGAGCTGATGTCTGTAGGGTCAGCAGAGGCCATGGGGAGCATGGTCTGTTCGCTCCTGTTTATTTATGTTTCCTCCAAGTTGTATGCAGTAGCTCTGAGTGTCAAGCGAACACTCTGAAATGTAATATGTGATTGCATTTCATGCCCTACCCATCCCTCAAAATTGTTAGAATGTTGACAGTCTTACTGAAGCGGTTGAAACTGATTAAACCCAGCGTTAATAAGCACTTATTCCTTATTTTTACAGGTCCACATCCTACATCTCAGATTAGTTTTGATTAGATTGAAATTAAATATCCATGTTTCGCAGATTCGCATTTGATAAACTTGAATGGTTTGGGAAATTAAACCATTTTCCAATGCAGCCGGATAGTAAGCTATCCTTTTGAAAATGTATGTTTAAATTCTAATTTATGGAAACCCATTAATGACCGTGTATATTATACCTCAACATGTGTTTCCTTCTCGACTGTCTGCTATTTCCAAAAATTCATCAAGCAGTAAAAACATTCCACTTGTTGTTAATGAGTTGAAGTCAGAAAATTAATAATATGGAATTTTGATTATGGAAGATGTCCTGTAACCATGCGCAAGCACCTTTCTCCGTCTCCTTGTGAACAGGGTTTAATTTGTGTGTTCAGGTTCAGTAGGAATATGCAAATGAATTTAATGATTCGCATCACTAGATCATTTCTCAGTTTAATATCATTTGCTATGTCGGTCATAAGTGAGGCTCCGATCACATGGCTGTCTGTATGTTCTCAAAGGTGTGAGCAGGAAATCATTAAACAAAATGTTTAGATTTTATCACATCCAGTTGAATGTGATGGTATTGTCATAGGACAGGGAGACTAGAGCCTCCTCAGATATATGGAGTTACACAATGTAAACAGGCATTAAGGGAGGCGAGATAAAGTGACAAAATATAGGCTTATCTTTGCAAGCGGCTTTACATGTAGATCTCACAAAAGCCTGCCTGTAGCAGTAATAGTTCAAATCAGCCATTTCCATTGATTTATTTATGACATACTAAACATGGCTCTTTCCAGCTTTGGCTGTGGTGTGGCACAGGCTTAGGTAGTCAGTGTGATAAATGATCTCTAAGAGCATATTTTGGATAAGGGAAATAGATAAGGTCTATGCATAACATGAAGGGAGACCTACAGAAGATATTTGTGGGCAAGTCACAGCTTTGAAGGCTCATTTTACGGAGTTTTCTCCCTCTGTTTTTTTTTCATCATTTGTGGTTAGCAGCCGGAGCAACAAAAGCATTCATGACATTGATAGATAGTTATTGATAAATGCCATTATAGCTACATAAACGCCCATGAAGTATTGCTTACACACCATGACCGTCAGCTCTTTCTAATAGAAACGTCTCAAGCCCCTTTTGCTTCCTAACTGATCTTAGCAACATTTCCTAAAATCAACCTCCTCTGCCAGTCTAACGACAGCCCTGAAGGCACCATCAGATGAACAAATTCATTACATCTCAACAACCCCTGTTGGGGCCCTGCGCACCAGCCTCCCTGTTAACCAGCTTTTCCAGCCCTTTTAGTTTTTTAGCATGGCCCCGGCGTTCACAGAAAAATGATCCGCATTTTGTTTACAGGAGATTACTATTATCTGAAATATGATGCTTCTCGCCTCCTTCACACAGAGCACAGACACATAATACCGAGGAAATCATAGAGTACTTTTTTATTAGGGTGAAAAATGAAAAAAGGGCTGGACTCCTGCCCCGAGACATTTTGTGAGCATATTATTTTACAATGCTTTGATCAATTTGTCTGTCAAGCTGGCTGAGATGTGGGGGAGCAGGAAAAAAGCAATTTAGCTTGTGAGGTCCTCAATAGAAATGTACTACAGGAGCCTGTGTATGACATGTTGCATTAGAACCTGAGTAGCCTTTATTGCCTGATAATGTCGCAAGGCAATGCTGATATCAATCACCCTTTAACAGCCAGTCTGATGTGTTTTTATGAAAAGAAAAAGAAAATAATGCATGAAGCGTTTCTTGGAAAATAATTGATTTAATTCTGAGCTGAGGGAGTTCTACTTTTAAACAAAATAAAATAAAAAAAACAGGCATAAAATGTGCTAGAAGCTAAAAATTGTTAAGAACAAGCTTTTTGCATATGCTCCTATAGAAAAGAATTGTAATTAATTTTACACGGATAAACATTCAGTCTCATTTACATATAGATATAAACAATATATTTGTGCATCTGAATTCCCAGCACACTTGGGTCACGTGCTCTGCCTAAAATCCTAAGTGGCTAAAACCCAAAATTATCATTATATTTCCCAGACCATAAATCCGCCTTTTTTTCTCCGACACAAAGCCGTATAAATCTGTGTCTGATTCTTCACATTGCACATTGTTTTTAGTTAATGATTTTCATCTGTTTGTTGTTGCTGTGATAGTGGGGAAATGTACCATATGCTCCTGCAAAAGACAAATGATTAGCAAATGAAATTCTGGACAGCTGTCTGACTGAAAGCGTTTGGTTGATAGCATTCTGCTACCATAATTAGCTTAAGCTTTGGGTTAATTAACTTTCTACCTGGATATGCATAATAATAGCATTCTGCAGAAAGCCAAGGAGCTTCCAGTATATCAGCAGCAAGGGCTGGCTTTTTATTTTGTATTTCGGCTGCATATTTCAATTTCAAGAGGCGATTTAGCTCAGGAGCATCGTCAAATATTGTAGATTTTACTCCCCAAGCCAGATAATTCTGAAACAATAGGGGTGTATTATGTGGCAGAAATGCCATTTCTGAATGTAATTAAAGCGGATGAAAGCAATCACCAATTTTTAAACGCTTTTGTCTAGCACGAGGCCTACTTATAAAAAAATACCCATCAAGAGGAGAAAAGAGGCAAGAGAACCCCCAAGTCCTTATATAAGAGGCCTTTGAGACTGAAGTGAAGTACAACAGTAATTAGTCTTTTGTATGAATTTGCCGGCCATGGTCATGATTAGTTAAGCATATGAGAGGACTGCAGGACTGCATTGGTCTTAAGGAGGAGGGTGTTAAAGTCTATTTATCACCAGTTATCCTCACAGCTTTCCATTATCACTGACAACACTGGATGGGGTCTGAGAACAGCCTAATTGTTCTGAGGTGGAGTGTTTTTGTGTCAAAGCCGTCACCCGGGTCACATTGGCATTCATAAGCAGCCAGACATTTTCCATCTATCTAGCTCTAATACCCAAGCTGTCACAACAGCTTTTACACACTACCAACACTAGTGTGAAATATCTGAGGTGATGCATTTATCGTTTTTCTCACACTCGTGTTGTGTTGTGAATCAATGTCCTGGTTCACACTGAATAGCAGTATGGTAAATGTGTTCCCTGTTTGGGGCCTGTTTACATGATGTGCTCACACACCGGGAACCATATCAACGACTTATTTGTTTCCCCTCTGTTATTTCTCTCCCTGATTTCCTCTCTGTCTCTTTTTCTTTCTCGGGGTCTCCTGCTGTATTTTTAGGCCAACACATCATTTGAATCCACTTTAATTTCTTATTTTGCCTGAGATATAGACACAACTGTGGGCTTAATAAACTGCTTACATTTGTAACTAAAATGCTTTGTCATACAAACAGTGATCTGCTGATCTGTTATTGAATGAAATCATCAATAAAGCAGAGGGGAGACTTTTTGACGTAGTCCCTTTAGAAATGGTATGAATAATTCATCGTGTAATGATATTCAGATGATTTTTGTTCTATTTTTTACTGCAGCCTTAGAATATTGTTTTGCATGTTGTGAAGTGTAGTACTCAGCTGCGTATTCATTAAGGTGCTGCTCCCACTGGCCCTTGGACCCATCTGTGCTCTATGTTTATGCCTCCATCTCCTGGGACCGTCCCAATCAGGCAGCATGTGCCATTTCCTGTGTAAACCAACACCTGTGTAACACACTACCTGTAAACCGCCCCACACAGACGAGACACTGACATCCACTCGGATGAAAATCTGCAAATGTTGTGGTTTTCTAAAGCAGAACCTCCAGGGTGAGGACGGGAGCCGAGCGAGAGTTACCCTTCAGTGTGGAGATGCAGCTAAAAGCAGCTACTGCTGTTTTCTTTTTTCCCTGCTGTCGACCGGGAAGTTTTTGTTTTTTTCCCCGGCACGGGGGTTGAGCTAGTTTGTTTTAGAACTTGATTGGATTCTATATCTGCAACATGCAGAAGTGTACAGTGTGTGACATGCTAAGGCAATATGCAGAGAGATGATTCCGCTCTGACATCTTGGAGAGGAGTACGAGTCAATTATGCCCAAGTGTTGTTCTTGCTTATCTTCCTGCGGCACCAAACAAGGATTTAGTCAAGGATTTAGGGGTGAGGGGGCGGTGGTGGGGATCATGGTAAGCGGTTCACAACAAAACACTCAAAACTCCTGGGAGCGGGCACTGATTTAAAAATAAATTACAGAAGACGAAGCGCTAACACTCAAGGGCCCTCAGCAGTGCTGGCGTACACAGGTGAAGATTAGCCTCCTCGCTAATCAGAGGAACAAGGCAGTAATTTGCTCTGAACACAGACAGTAATTAGGACTTGGTGACACTGGATTCCCATAATGCCTTTGAGCTTGACGTGGTCAAATTTTGACAGAGGCTATCCATGCAGGGTCACTGTCCCCCCAGTCTCCCGGCCCTCTTCAGTTGAGGCTCTAAAAGGTCCCTGCAGTTACAGGGGATCCCTAATGTACTTTATGCTCCCTCACTGGCTCCTTACCATTCGGGTAATTGGAATCTCTTACTGTGGCACTTGAGAATAGAGGCTAAAAACACTATTTGAAACTGCTCAGTAGTCTGTTGTAGATAAACATTGCTGCGCCTCGGTGTGGATACACTACATAATGGAGTAAGAGTTAAGGCTCTGGTAATACATGCCTTCACTGACTCCTGTGGCTAGCCAGTTGGGAGAAGACCTAATTGTTGTGTGCTTTGTTGCCTACTCTGCAGTATTTTACCACCACCACCTTTATGTATTGGATGGAGTGTTGCGGCCTCTTCGGCGGACATTCGCTAATAAGAGTTGTTGGATATCTAGAGAGCCGTTTATCCGGCCGAGTTGTTTTTATTTTGAAACCGCGGAGCACAAAACGCGCGGCCCTTAACAGAACAGGAAGCATTTCTTACAGCTTACCACTCCAAGAGCTCTCCACTTTAGCGCTGCAGTAGCTAGATAGGCATCTGAATGATCTTCAAACGGTTGAACGAGCTGCATTGAGCAAGTGGCTTACAATTGTATCACAGCCTTTGGCTCAGAGACCATCAGGATCTTGACATTCATAGAGACATGCTGTATTTTTTTTTCCCTTTTTAGACAGTCATTTTAGGCTTTTTTCATGCTCTCTTGAGTCTTTGACGTCTCTGAGTTAAGTATCTGCAGCTATAAGGCTGAGGAAAATATTGGACTGCTTTTGGCCTTTTCTATTTCATCCTCTGACCCGCCATGTTACCCATGATCGGTGAAGGAGAACTCTGGCAGCCTGTGTCAAAAGTGACAGCCGATCGAGTCAGGATGAGCGCCATCACGCTTCACAGGATGGAGGCATGAGTTCTGAGTTTTTCCCCCTTTTTGTGCAATATACCATTACACCCTTCGCCAGATTCCTTTCAATTAGATCCCGTGGTTAACCTGTTTCCTTTTTTTACGTCTGCGCCCGATAGAAAAAGTCTCGCTGAAGTCTTGTGCAGGTAGAGATAAAGAATATGCTGAAGGAAATTGACAAATTTAATGTCAGCTATTTTTTTCCCCTCCTTTGTCTTCTTTGATTGTTTCTTTCAGGATGAATGAAATAACCTCCAACATTATATAAATGCTCAATTCATTCCTTATATTAGAGCTGGAGAATAGGTAGAACTCCAAATGACTCCCACTTTACGCAGCAATGATTTATGGTAATTGGAAATTGATTGTGACAGGAGCACAATATTAGAAATTTTCTCAAATCACAATCTTGTGTCAGGGGAAATATTCTTTTTAGTGCAGCAGATCCTGGCCAGTTTGGAATTAGTTTCTTATTTCCTTACCTGTGATGAAAAAAATCATAGCCTGAAGGACGCTAAAGAAAAAGGATTTTAAGTAGACAAAAGATAATTTATAACAATTTAGATTTAGGCATATTAGAATAGTTAATGCCGACATAACACACTTGTTAAGCACTCTTATTGAAATGCTCTCATAATTCCTACTAATTGTATTTGTTGGTTCTTTTAATAAAATGCGGTGGCAGTTTCTTTAAGACAATATCAAGATGTATTTTCCTCTGAGAATTTCTCTGTAATCAGCCCGACATTTATTACAACATCTCTAATCTCCCATTTGAAGGGCAGAGTTTGTAAAGTGCCAGTCTGGACTCTGTAAAGATCATATGATGCTGCTTGATTTGTGATTCACTGAAGCGACTGGAAATGTTGCCAGCACAGGAGCTACATCTCCACTGCCCACATGCTCTTTAAAAACAATCCCCCACTGCACCTAGAGGTGACAGACTTCAGCCCGACTGATGTTGTTCCACTTTTATTTATTTATTTCGGTGTTGTTTACCGGCCATAACATGTACTGCATTGCATTAACTTTTACTACTGTCAATGTTGTATCACTCAGAGCACCTTTAAAGCCAGCGCATCCATACAGAGGGCTGAGGGGAGAGGAAAAAATTAGCCACGGTGACAAGTCTGAAGTGTGAGCTGGAGGTCAAAGGTGCCAAGCCTTAAGCAAAGGTGCTCTAGCCTTTGTCCGGTAGATTGTAAGGGCCTGCGGGTCCAACAGGAACATTTCCACACACAATATCCCCGAGCTGTCAGTGTGCAGCGGCTGGAACATCCTCTCAGAGAGAAAGAGAGGCTGTGGAGGGGTAGAGGTGGTGGTGTTGGAGGGAGGAGGCAGGTTGGAGGGGAAGGGGTAGAGAGGGAACAGTGGCCTGAAGATCCTTGCCGAGAGAAAGAGAGGCGGGGGGGGGGGGGGGGGTGGTGGTGGGTGTGTGTGTGTGTTGCGGGGTGTTGGTGGTGGGGAGCCAAAAGAGCTGGAGTGGGAGGACAGAGAAATAGAGAGGGGGGGAAATGAGGAGGGAGAGCTGTGCCGGGAGGAAGGGGGAGGGATAGAAAGGAGAGACAATGACAAGTAGGGGCTGGCTGGGCACTCACCCATGCCGACAGAGATTGCCATGAGCCATGGCCATTGTTTGAGCGGGTCTCAGCACAGGACCCGCTGGTGGATTTCCGACTTTTCACCGCTCAACTATAAACTGCTGCGCGGTTTATTTAGAAATGAGAGTATTTACACATTTTACTGTATTTACACCCACTGTTAAACGGCACCCAGGAGATTTTCATCACACAACCACAAACTAGCAGGCAGAGCGGTTTTCCCTGAAAAAAGTGACCCGCTCAGTCATAACACTCCAGTAAACCTCAGCTTCACATGTCCAATATAAAACGCTGCTCAAACTGTGACCTGCAGAAGTGTAAAAACACTTTAGGGCCGCGTTGTTGCGGCGGCCAGGAGAGAGACGGTCTGTGTGTTTAACAAAGTAAATGTCTATTATTAATACCATACAGGATAAGCCAATTTTGAAAAGGGGGCACTTAAATGGTGATATTATTTATTTATAAGTCCTGTACACCAGTTAATGGAATTGGCGGCCAGCTTTAGATCCACAACGCAGCTTGAGGTCCACTTTGCAGTAATGCACATGCTAAGAGAGGACCTTCCCAGTAGGGTCTTTAAGTGTCAAATATGGGTCAGTCTGCTTGCATTGACCTGGGGGGTGGTCAGCAGCGGAGAGAAATTCAGCTGTTAAGTGATGCCAACTCAACCATCGGCAAATTCCTCCAAGCATCTACTCATGCTAAGATGCACGTCCAAGAGCAGCGCTTTGCCGGCCAGCTCTGCTCTGGCCAAAAAATCCATTTATTCTTGTCATGAACTATAAACTAGACCCAAGCAGGGTTGAAGCTGTTGTTCAATCTGAACTTCTTCTTTTTTTTTTTCCTAAACAGCTGCTTCACTTTTGAAAACTCTTCTTTTTTTTTTTAAATTCCTTTCCAAAGCTTGTTCTGCTTCCTTAAAGTTGTTTGAAATAAACTGTTAGCGCCATTTCTTTTTTGAACCGGCAATGTTTTCTGTCATACTCCATCGTGCTACACTTCATATCCATATAAATCTAGTGTTACAATATAGTCTTTATATTTCCTTTTGCTTTTTCTGCCTTTCACTGCACTGAGATTTGTCTCTGGAAAGAAACAGGAGTTAAGCCAAAATGTTAAACTCTACATTTTAGGCACGTCTTCATGAGCAACTTTAGCTTCAGTCTTCAAATTATGTCATCTTGCATCTGTGTCACTTGTGGCATGTTATAATACTCTTGTGGCATATTTTAGCACAGTTCAACCTAGAATAGGTTATTATGATTGCTCCTCTGATCCCCACCTCAACTCCCCATCCTGCCTTATATCCCTCACAGGAGCGGTGTTTCCCCCCTGAGCTGTGTGGTCAACGATAGCCCGGCAGAAACGAGCCCCGAGTTGCAGCGCTGCGTCGAATGGCTCCAGGCGTACTTCAGCGAGCCGCAGACCACTGGGAGTCTCCCGCTCCCTGCCTTTCACCACCCCGCCCTGCAAGGAGGTCTGTCACGGATAAATATTTGCAGAGCCATGACTGGGATCAGGCTTTCACTCTTAATTGTCAGTTACATCACTTACACTCACTGGCTCACTGTGTTATAATGAAGTATTTTATGGCTGAGAGAGAGAGGGGGAGAGAGAGTGTGAGGAGCAGAGGAGTGGGTGAGCGGGAGGAGAGAGAACAGAACACAGAGCTGTAACTTGGTTCAGTAATCTGTGGCAGCTCTTACCACGCGTGTTAGTCTTGGCAAGCTTTTCCATGATTCTTGGCACATTCTTTGAAACTGATCGAATTCCACTCTTGACATTTTCAGACAGGAAGCTTTTTTTTTTTTTTTTTTTTCTTCAATGACAACATGTGAATGGTGCTGAAGTTTGAATGAGCCTATTGTTGGCTTGACCAGTCACCTAGGGCGAGTAAAAATGAAAGCACCCCAAAAATGGACAATTAGTGTCCTTTCAACTTGTAGCAGGGAGTCCAGAGTGAAGGATGGAGCGCACTGAGGAGGAAAAATTTGGAATTAATTAAGGTGGTGTTTATGTTTCTAGGAAACAGGCAACACTTTTTGCAGCCTCATTTTTTATTTTTTTTTGGAAACATTAACTTATCTCCACAACATTTACATGCTATTTCTTTGCCACACTGAGACGCACATAGCGTTTGAACTTAAAGCTCTCATTTACACCCATAAGCACACCTCCACAGGAAAAAAACAACCTCTTAATATATGCATTTAACAATTGTGCCTCTCTTCCCCTGCAATCAGGCCTTAGTTGCTCTCTAATTTCATGCAGATCTGCAGTGCTTGAGTGATGGCATTTTCAATGAGCAGGTACTCCATCGAGACCCTGTATACAGCTATGAGTCCCACGCTCCCGCAAAGGCAATGCAGAAATACATCAGGACCAATTACGATATCAACTTTCAGTGTGATTCCCTTCGCCACCAAGTGCTTGTGTACCAGCCCCAGGCTCTTTCAAATCGCATCTCATCTGAAGTCTTTGGGGTTTTAATTAAATTTCAGGATAGATGGAATTCTTCATTAGTACCTGATCTGAATAGGTGATTGTGCTGTGTTCCACCTCTCTCCCTCGCCTGTTGTTTTGGGGCTCAGTAAATACAGGGTTTAGGCTTGGATTGCTCTCAGTAGTCAAAACCATAGGCCATGCCAGTATAAAAATGTTAAATGTGAGCATCAAGAGTATTTGTCTTTTGAGGGAGGAAAATAGACGGTTTCCTTTTTTTTTTCTTTTTCTGCTTGTTGATTCAGAAATATTAAGGATTAGTTTCTGCTTTTACAAATTCCTCCTCCATCTCTTCCTGGAGCTGCTGCCTGCCTGGGAAAAAAAAATAAAAAAAATACAAGTTTAATCAGGTCATTACAATCCGTGACAACCAACTTTTGTTTGCTCAGTTATCTTGTGGGAGAACCTGAACGCGACAGCGCTCTCGCTGCACTTGTCATGTAATATTGAGTTGTGACCTTCACTTGAAGTGTTGCCATGTTTATTTACACATTTCTGACAAAACAAGCCACTTTTCATATTAGCTGTCACGACATACCTGAGCAACAGAGGTGACATGAAAGGAGACGCGAGGTGTGGTTTTCCTATACTGTCTGACTGATTGTCACGGCAACATCACACGCAAGTTTGGTCGGCGAGCTAGAGGGATGGTGAGTGCGTGCGCGTGTGTCCTGCTAAGGGAGCGTGTGTATGTGTGTGCGTGCGTGCACACGCTTCCTCAGAAAAAAACACAGACACCATCATGAGTTCTTAAAACGATGCATATTCTTATCTCATTAATTATACATCCATATGTAACAGACGAGAGGATCTTAGTCTCGGTAAGCGGCACGGGGAATATGCAGGGAGGGGGCCAGGCAAAGGGGGGGAAGGGCGCTCTTCAAAGCCCAAATGACTGTGTTCCTGCAGGAGCCTGAACCTCCCCCTGTGCACAGCGCAGGGCGAGATGAGACACTCACCAGGACTCGCCCCTGTGATGTGGAGAGGAATTAGGGAAATGAACGTTTTCAGAATATCGAATAATCAGAGAATCATCAGCACCCCGTCAGCCTTCAAAAGTATGGATCCCTCAAGACTCAAGAGACACTTTGACTGGGAGTCAAAGTCTTCCCTCCCATTAGACACAAAGGATAATGAGGGAGCTGCATTTCCACTATTGTCTTTTTATTGTCACAGCCTTGTATGAGGTGAGTGTCAGCTGGAAGTCATCTCTCCAAATCTATCATTAGCACGGCTGATGGAGTTCAGTTTATTGTTTTTTATTCCTTTTTTTTAAATTGCTCTGAAGCACAAAATTATGAGCAAATCAATCATAAATGTCAATACGTTTATAATCTCTGGATCGGTTCGATTTTCCTCTGGCGCAATCTATCCCCACCGCTGCCTCCGCAGTGGCCCTATCACCTGGCCTCATGCTAGGTAATGACCTGTGACATAATTATGGGATGTCTGTAAACATGTAAGTGGTTCCTCTCAACTTTTATTTAAACAATTGACATCACTGCACCCCATCTAAAGAGGGTCCTGACCCCAGACACAGCGTATTAGGCTCTTTATGAAGTATGTGGCTGGGGGACCGCTGTCCAAATCATTGCTGGTCACCTCGAGTGACCTGCATGAAGTCTCTGTCACTAACACTGATGAGGGCAAAGTTCTTTAACCTCTGTACCGGGAGATAGAAGCACACACACTTGTTTTTTTTGTCCTGAACTGTTGGAGATGAGAAACCTTTCCAGAAGGGAAACAGTAACCCAGGATTAGGAAAAAAAAAAAAAAAAAAAAAAAAAAGGGATAACAGTAGCTTGTTGCTTGGTCTGCTTGTGGGCGAAAGCGCTCAGCAGTGTCTACTGACGTGACTTTGGTTGTTTGTCAATAACGTTTGCATCAACAGGGATTTGTCATAGCCACCGCCTGGGCAAGTTGTCATCTACCCACCAGTGACAAAGGGATACCACGCACATCATTTGGGCCAAATCTGAGCTTTATGAGGGAGAATAATGCATAAAAGATATTTCAGGGGTGTATCTTATCTCCTCATAACATTAAGTCTGTCTGCGTAAGAGCCCGTCATCTCGTTGACAGCGTGATTATTACCTGAAAAATTATTAAACAGTACCTACGGGCCTTGTTCAAGACAAAGAACTCACATGGGTGCGCATCAATCAAATATATCCCCTTTAGGTTTTACACTTATTCCCCCCAGTTTAGGCAAATTGCCTTGTTCACGTGGCTTTGTGTAGCGGAGAGTGACTATAAGGTAGCGAGGGAGCCTGGGGAGCAAAGGATGTTCACTCTGTAGAAGAGAGACAGGGGTGTGACATGTTTTCACACAATGCCAATTTAGAGGGATTTCTCATAGATCACTTGTCATGTGCTCTCTTAGACCATATAAATGAGAGAGAATGGGAGATCACTAATTGAATTTTCATGACTGAGTACATGTATATACTAGAAGAATGTCACCCCCTCTTGATAACGAGACTATTGTTCCCCATCTTGTTCTCTGCGCTTAAAAAAAAAAAAAAAGAAAGAAAGAAGAAGTGTTGTTCGCTCCCTACACAAGCTCAGTGCATCGATGTCTCAAGTTTTTTTTTTTTTTTTTTTTTTTTGAGAAGCTTCAAATACTTTTTCCCTCCCCTCTTCTTCTTCAGAGCTAGACAAACACACCACTCAGTCACTGCCTGGTAATCCAGAAAAAAAAAAAAAAAAGATAATGCTACCGCTAAAGTGCTAATGAAATCAAAGCCGTTAATGTGGTCGGTTAAGCTGCGGATGATTTGAAGAATTCCGCCATTTAAGTGAAGATGATATAATGAATCTACTCTGAATAGAAAGCAATTAAAAGGACAAATTGGTCTGATTAACCTCAAAGTCATCCCACTGCCACAAATGGTATGCAACATTGAAATTATTATTATTAAAAATCTGGAGCAGATTTGCAGTCTTTTTGGCCTCTCTTAATCCTTTTAAATGAAGGAGCGAACTTTTTTAATTTTAGCTGTGACCTTTCAAAGCATAACCTAGATTTTTTCTTGCCAGAGAAATAATTTTCTCCCACCCGCTTCTGTAGCATGTTGATACTAGTTCTTAGGTCAAATTGAGGGACTTCTCTGTATTGAGTTGTTTAATGAGTATTGTAAGAAAAAAAGTGGGAGTCTTATGGGGTCATTGAGAGGAAGACTCTATGACTTTATCAAAACTGTTAAGTAGATCCAAAATGTTGAGATGTCTGAAATTGAAAACGTAAGCAAATATGAAGGTTGTTCTAAACTGTTTTTATCATCAGCCTCCGTCTGTTCGATTGATTCAATGAAGGAACTCTCTTCTTCCTCTTGTTCTCTCCTTCTGTCTCTCCCCTGCTTCCTCTCCGTCCTCCCCGCTCTGTGGGGAAAAAAAAGACGCGTTCACCAGCCACGTGCTGCACGTACTTCTGAGGGACGTGAAGTTCGGAGAGACGGTGTCGTACAAACGCCTCGCTGAGATGGCGGGAAACCCCAGAGCAGTGCGGGCGGTGGGAGGGGCCATGAGGAGGAACCCGGTGAGTGTGACTGACATTGATTGACAGGCTTCTGTCTTACTTACTTCATTGAGTCAGTTATTGAAAGTCATGGCGTTTTGTTTTTTAATATTAGTTTTCCACGCCTGCAGCGTCTGATCCGACTCATTGTCTGCAAACAGACAGTGAAGTTTGCTTCAGTCATGAGTTGTTGTCTTTTTTAAATTATAGATTAGTAACATGACATCATTAACATGATTTAATGCAAAGCTATTTAGTCAATTTGCAGAATTGTATAATGCATGTAATTATATGCATGCAACTTTTCAGTAGAAATGTCGTTCATTTTCTGTTGAAGCGGCTGAAATCTGACGACTTTCTGTTTTTCTCTGTTTCATTTCTCTGCACACGAAAGATCTTTTTCTTTTGGGTGGTCGGTCACTCAAACTCGATATTTTTGAGAGGAAAATGAGAGATGAAAAGCTTCTTTAGGGCTATTCTTGTATTTTGTGGGTGGATATTAGGATTGTAAATAAACTGGGATTGTTATTTATTGATTTTAGGTGGCAAACAAACTGGGGAAATGTTTGTATATTATTGTTAATAAATGTGAGCAATTGTTTGAGTTATATACGGTATAAACTAATAGAAGAAAAGTGACAAAGGGGATCGGTTTTTAAGTTTGACTTCTACTTCTTTTTCGGACAGTTCCTTTTGTTTTCTTTGTTTTTTTGAACATCTTATTTAAAAAATTTCTTGGAAATAAAGTCGTTCATTCATTCATTCAAACTAAACATTTTAATTGTCATATTTTTCACAGTTTAATGATGTTTTATAGACTTATGTATTAATGAAGAAAAGGCAGATAAGTTGATCATCAGCTGTTGCTGTAATTAATACTAATTTAATGTAATTTAATCTACAATTTGACATCAACATTTAGGCTTTTCAAATGATTAAACAGGATAGAATAGGACTAAATACATGTATACACTGTTAAAGGGATTTAAAATAACATAGAAATCAATTGTTAGGTATCAACATGTAATCTAAAGTGTGCACATTCTTACATTGAACACCTAAAGAGTACAATAACAGTAATGTTCACGTCTTGAGGAGGCTTAATATACAAAAATCTCCTTCACTCAAGTCTTCCTGTACAATAATGTTCAAAGCGTCTTTCTGACGGAGCCTGTGTAATCCAAACCGTAGGTGTGTTGGTGCTACATGCGAAACAAACGCCCCCCCCCCCCCGCCTCTGAGAGTGGAGGAGACGTGAAAGTCTACCTACAGCACAGGTTTAAGCCCACACCTTTTGTTCCCGTCCTCTCAAGTCTTTACTGTAGTTGTTCGCTGCAAATCTCCGCTTCTTGTCGGAAACCTGGCCCGCATCGTTTTTTTTTTTTTTCGCCTGTGAATCCACTGTGTACAAAATGGAGGGCTAGAGGGCAAGTGGTGTGTCTTCTTTTGATCAAACCCTTTGATCAAAGCCCGTTTAGCTCTGCCCATGTAGTGCTGTGGGCACCACCGGTGTGCTCTGTGAGGCAGAGAGCACTTCTTGTACAGCCAGTGAGATGTTCTCTCTCTTATGTGCTGTGAAACGTCTTGTATACATCCTCATCTTACTTTCTTTTTCCTCTGAAACTGATTTTTGTTGTTAAAGTAGGAGGAAGAGGAATTTATGTTAAGAAAAAGTAATTTCAAACACAGAATTGACCATAAAAATATAATGTTGTTTTGAAAATGATCTCCTTTTTTACTTATATGTAACATTAGCCAATGGCATTGCTCCTGGATGGCTGTATAATTCCTTTCAGTCTCATGTTTTACAGACATTTCTCCCCTTTCGTCAGGCAGACTGGGAGCCTGAGCCCTCAGCTCCTCATACAGATCCAGAGTCAGATTGTCAGTGTCAATTACTTGTCAGTAGCGCCGCTCCACTCAGGCTTCAGCTGCGAAAAGCTCAGTGTGCTCAATCGATCCTCGCCTTCTCTGTGGCACTTCTTCTTCACCAGGATTTGAGTATTGATAAGCCTGGTGTAGTGCTCTTTTCCCCCCAAGTGAAGAGACAGATCCGAAGGCCTTGGGGGTACCCTGCTCTCCCTCCAAACCCGGGGAACAGTATTGATCCGAATACTCGAGCAGTATTTCTCTCTCTGCAAGGTTAATCTGGGGCTCGGAAAGTTTTATTGCTGTTGATATGGGAGCGGGTTTAATGATGGATTTGAACCGAGCACACACTGCATGTCCAAGTTTTATATGAAAGGCTGGAGATGTCGGGATAAGTTGGTTAAAATGGTGAAAAATAGTCACAGTGCTGTAGCTGTGGTGTTTTTCTATTCAGTGCAGAAAGAATAGGATAAGGGAAACATTGAGAATATTGTAAAATAAATAATTGCTGTGATTCACTACAACCATTGCCACTCGCCTTGTTCTGAATTCACAATGATCGAAGTGTTTTAGGCTTGCTTGTTTAATCTTTCTCCAGCCATTTAGTTTACAAAGAACTCGGGACCCCCCTGGCAGTCGTCTGCAACAAGAGTAAACGCTCCACCGACTTCCTCTTTTTAATGATCACAGGGTTATCAGATCTTAATGTTGACACCCTCTCGATTGAATATTCATCCTGCTGGTGTTTTTGCCCATTAATTTTTGATTGCTTCTTTGCTTTACACTATTAAAGAGTAAAAAACATTTATACCCAAAGACTAAGCCATCACCCTGAATGTGGATTTGTGCAGGATCAAAACAGACACTTCTCATGTGGCACTTTGTTTTTTCCCATGCAGTGCATGAACATAAAGAGCCAGAAAAAAAAAGTGCAGATTCAGATTTCCTGCACGTTGGTTACTTTAAAGTCACACTGTTTATGTGGTAAATCAGAGACTCTGTGATGCAGAATACATACCTACTATCAACACCTCCGACTGTTGTGTAGCTGTGACAATCAATGCCAACTTTAGAATAAAAAACTCAGGTACTGCTGTGGTTGTTCCCCTTAAATATTAGTGTTTTTAATTGCACATTATACTTTTGTGGTGACAGCACTAATCCTGCATTGAATTTATAGTTTAAAGTTAAAACCTGTTTTATGAAAAACAGCTGGCACACTTTTTAAAGGGACTTTGTTTCCATGTAAAAAAAAATGTTCCTGAGTGATATTTTATTTTATATCATGTTTCTTTCCTCACAGTTGAATATTTTTCGTCTCTCTCTCTCTCTGTGTGTGTGTGTGTCTGTGTTTCGCCAGGTTCCTCTCCTCATCCCCTGCCACCGAGTCATTTCGAGCAGTGGGCAGAGTGGGCCTTACATGAGCGGCAAGGGCGACCATCTCAAACAATGGCTGCTCACCCATGAGAGGCAGAGAGAGGAAGGCTAAATCATGACAGAGGCCAACTGTCCTTCATTCAGCACACACACACACACACACACACACACACACACACACAAAGAAAACACAAGCACATACACGCACAGACACACACACAGAAAAACCAAGCACACACACAGACACACACAGAAGGACAGAATTTTTAAAAAACAAAAAACAGGGCCATAAAGTTTAGTGAGCTTGGCACACTCTGTGGAACAACTGGAGGTTTGTAGATATTCAGTTTAAACTCCTTTTTTTTTTTTTTTTTTTTTAAATCTAAGAATAGAGATGCTGCATAGTTAATGTGATACAGAGTTGTTGCAGAATTAGAATGTACAAAAATAACTTAAACAGAGAACAGTAGGAATTACAAACATATGCTCCCGTGGGTCTCCATTGCGTTTGCCAGATAGTGCTGGAATGGTTTTTCTAAAGAATTATTATTCCCTTAAAAATATGTCTCTCGCATTGTTGTTGTTGTTGTTTTTTTTTTCTCCTAAGCAGAATTAGTCTTTGTACCTCTCGTTGGTTTTTTAATTTCCTGCCAAGTGAATGCTTTGTTCAACATCCAGTGATAAAGGCTCTGAATTTTACTGCTACAAAGCTTTGTAGTGAGCATTTGTTTTGTCTTCATTTAGATCTCATTGTTTGCTCTCGCCTTACAATCCACCTAGAGCCGACATGTCTTATGCATTGTATACTGCACTTCTGTAACATTAGACATGTTTAAATAAATACATCTCAAACTGACACATCCGGCCTTTTCATCATTTTAATTGTATTTAATTTTAAAATTGATTTCATGTAGCGTTCACTCAGTTCAGCTCATAATTAATTATGCTGTATGTCTTCTCTCCTCGCTGCAGCTCTCTCTGCATGTCAGAGCTGCCTTTCTTTTTTATATTTCTGAGGAGTGTTTTCCATTAGAGGGCAGTACAGAACGGGAAACTGGAATCAACATTTCAACCTTGAATTCATCCTGCACATTTGATCTGTAACTTAAATGTTTATGTGTTATTTTATTTTCATCACATCACTATTTAATCCCTCTGGGATAAATTATTCCGTCTTTAAAAAGACCATATGGAGAGGGCAGCAGTGGTGGCATGTGTTTATAAAAATAAGTTGCTTTAATTGAATATGTCCTGTACTTTTATTTCACACATTTCCTCAAAAGCTGTTACATTGACGGTTGAGTCTTTTTTTTTTTCTGCTAAATTCTTCATAGTCCTAACCGTCTAGTGCAGCTCCAGAGTGACCCTTACTCGCCCGTAGTTATTCCTCTTCTGTGCAGCACAGGTAGCCTAATAATCCACCCTCCAAAAATAACCTCGGCTCTAACCTCTTCAGAAACAATTCAAGTGGCCCGCTCGCTGAATACATTTGAACTTTGCTGCATTTTTGAATTTCTTATCCGATCCAGCTCCATGTGGCTGTCTCACCGTGCTGCTGCTGGACTCACTTCCACTGCCGTTTGGAGGAGCACCGTGCCAGTGGAGATGTTGAGGCAGCAGACAGGCAGATGAAGAATGAGACTCAGTCTGTGGTTTCACAGAGGGCTAATGATGCCTGTGGTGACTACAGGCTACAGTCAGCCCCCTAACGAAGGGAGCTGTGACACAGCCACAAGGGGTCCCATTTAAGCCAGGCGCACTCTGAAGTGCACTGTAAGCACCCTCTTTTTTTTATTTTTTTTGCTTGTGGCTAAGTAAATTCTAAGGAATGCTATGAATTTAGCAACCAGAGATACTGATGTCTGCAGAGTTCTGTGGTTGATGTTAAAAAACAAGTTCAGCATCAAAGCAGCCGACATGCTGCCAGTAATTGGCAATGTAATTGCTTAGGTAGCAGAGAAACCCCTTTAAAATAATTCACACCTTTTATTTTATCCACCTTTTTCTTACATTTTTCACAACATTGAAGTAGGTATCTGCATTAGCAGCAGTGTTATTATCATGTCTGCATTATTTGGAGGTTCATGTGTACCACTTCCGTATCATGCTGGCTCAGAGATAAAAAGGAATTCGATTAAAAAGAGGCTGAGACGATCTCATCATCCGCACTGTTAATCTCTGTGAAACCTTTAATTTTGGCCTAATATCTGCCTCCATTTCCGAGCGAGAGAGAGAGAGAGAGAGAGAGAGAGAGAGACTGCAGGAGTGCATGTGCTGCATGCGCGTGCATGTGTTTGTGTGTGTGCGCATGTGAGAGCATGTGGCCATGCGTGTTGGTGTGTGCACATGTGTATGTCCATATGTGTGTGGGTGAAGTGGATGATATTGAGTCTGACTTCATAAATCACCCAGACACTGATAAACTCCCCATGCACCCACACACCGCTAATGGGCAACCCTTAAGGAGTGTGAGTGTCTCGTGCGGCGTTTGATTCAACATTTATTAACCCCCTCACACACACACAAACACGCGCACACACACACACACACACGCACACACACACACACACTCCCCTCACATACGACACACACTCATTTGAGCCCCCAGAAAGAGCGAGGATATACTTGGTGGCATTCACAGCATTAGAGCGAAAGGTTTTTGACCTGGCCGGGCTGTATTAATCTTAGAGGATAGTCGTAAGATACATTTTAGCTTGTACAACAACAACAACTTCTGCATTTCCCAACATTAGTTTCCCTCTCATAACTTATATCCTGTCTCCAACTCCCAACTCCCCACTTCCCAACTCATATCCTGGCAACCCTCCTCATTATAGAACAATTTTCTTTCCCCGCATCAAAAACAAACACACCCTGCGCTTCCATCGCTTGCTCTTCATACATGTTGACTCATAATTCAAATGTTATCACAACCTGCAACCCCTTGGCACAAGTCCTGGGCTTAGAGGGGACCCTGCCGAAGTTAATCCTGCAGCCACATCAGTGATTCATAAATAGCTGCTTTTATTCTCCCTAAAAAGTTTCTCTGCTTCAAAAAAAAGAAATCAGAAAGTTTTTGGAAGATATTAAGTGCAAGCTGAGCAATTGCTGCTGGGAAGCCAGAGGAGTATCCGACATGCAGATAGGCAGCATCCAACAGTCAGTCAGTCAGACTGATAGGCACAGGGAAAGATAGCTGGATAGACAGACATTAGACTGGGGCTTGGCTGCACTATCAGGTTTCCTCCCCCTCTGTCTGTCTGCCGGGACAGCCGGGGCCTCGGAGGCCCTGACACCGAGGCACCGCGCAGCCAGCCACGACAGCTGCCACAGCAGCATCTAATACCAACACACTCCACGCTACGCCGCAACTACAAAGACAAGTATCATCTCAAACATGGCACACTTTGATGCTCTTGTAATGATCTTTGTGTTTTGAGAGAGAACGAGGGAGGATGGAAGGATTCATATGGTGCCTTTTTCTTTTTGTTTTGTTTTTAAGAACAAAGAGACCCCCCCCCCCCCCCCACATGAACAAGGTTTAGGACAGTGATGATGAGACAGAGCAGGATTAAATGAGAAAGTAAAAGAAACCCTGAGAGGTATCAGCATGCGAGCGTGTGCACGTTAGTAACCTTGTATCAGTGTGTCATTGTAACCTTCTGAACTCGAGTGCTGGTCTGGGGGTCTCTAATTAGGACCGGCTGATGAACGGCCATGCATAACGTGAGAGCGGGCTCCTGCGAGCGTGTATCCCTGCATGTATCAATCTGTGACTGTGCAGCGCGGGCTTGTCAGCATGGTAAGGAGAGTGTCTCAGCCTAGAGAAAGTGCAGGTCTAGCCTTGGTCATGTTGACGGAGGGGCGGCACTTCAGAGGCTCCAGGACCCCATGGCACCAGTCTCCCCAGTCCCCCCCCAGACAGACTGGGAGCATCTGGGCTCTGTCAGCGCCTCTGGCCCCCGCAGACTCCGATCTATATGACGGGGGAGAGGAGTGGATTGGATCAGGGCGAGGGAAAATATGAGCCAGATTCCTCTGCCTTGTGCAAAATGCAGCTTTGCCAGTTAGCATGTTACATGTGTGTGTATGTGTGTGTGTGTGTGTGTGTGTGTGTATGTGTGGTTGCATTAAAGCCTGATAACAGGTCCCACTGATTAATTTTGTATGATGTGAGATGGAGGTTATTGATTAGCAGCTGATGTTGGAAAAGTCCTCTCTAAAGATTGTCCAATTAAGAATTAATTAAAAGTCTGCAGCTAAAAACATGCAAAGCCCGTTTATGAGGAAAAAACTCCAGATTAGACTGACAGATTTCTTTCCAGAGCTTTCTTTATGAACGCCAGCGATGATTTGATCAAGTGGATATAGTTCTGGAAACTGATACACACACACACAAGACTAATTAATCCATACACTAAATTAGGAATATAAATTGTGGTCCCAATTTAACAAGGTCAGCTTTAACTTCTCCCTTTACACTTTATTTAACAGAAGCAGGAGAGGAAGAAAAAAAAAAAAAAAAAAAGAGAGAGAGGGAGCCCTATCAATGTGCTTCGCTTATTATGATTGACGATTGATGATTAAGTCCTCCAGCTGACACACACCAGCAAAGCCGGTGAGTTGGAATTGGATGTGACACATACACAGTTCTGCGTGTTAGGTAATTCGTTGACGAGGGGCCAAATTCATTTATGGAACAGCGGTATTGGCAGGCATGGACACTCTCTGCAAAAACAACGATAATCACAGAGGTTTGGCGCGGCGTGACAAGGACTCTTTAGGGAAAGGCCCTTACACGCTGCTTTGTTGGCCGTTCCTCCCTAAGATGGAGGGAAACATCCGCCACTGTTCTTAAGATGAGAGTGGCTCGGAGCTGGAGAAGGTGCGGATGGTGTTTAAAGGGCTTGATTAGCACTTGTTGGCTCTGTTTTGATTCAGTAGCTTGCAGTCTATTATTAAGTTGGGAAATATCTGAATTTAATCGAGATGAATCTTTACTTTTAGGGCAAAGCAGTAGGTGTTGTTGTCTTTTTTTTGTGTGTGTGTGTGTGTGTGTGTGTGGAATTGATGAAATAAAGGCGCTGATAAATCCCCTGTAATGAAACATGAGGGGGACCCAGTCTCAAGCCATTTAATCTCTTTTCGCATTCTCCATTTTTTCTGCTAATGAGCCTTATTGACAATCAAACAGAAGCTGTCATCCCCCAGGAT